GCCCTTTTTTTTCTTTTGTGTGTACATTTTTTCCTCTCTCCTTAATTCTTTGTACCTATCCGTATCTGCATGTGTTCTATGTTGCTACATATATTTATATGCATTATCTTTTTTCTCGGCCCATTTATATTGGATGAGATGATAGATATACGAAAAAACTATAGAAACAAACATTGCTTAGGATTGAGATATTTGTGATTTAACAGTTTAAAAAATCCAGTGGTGTCACTGTGACAAAAGTTATGGGTAAAAAATATTCCCCATCTGTCAAAAAAATAAAAACCCTATACATGAATATCAGTGCAATGCAAACGGGTGGTAAATTGTGGTATAGGTTTCACAATTAGTGCCGATGGTTGTGCTGCAAAGTTTATAGATTTCTCTTTGCAGGAGATTCTGTAAACATTATGTTCTTGTATAATTACTGCAATAAAGACGTTAATTATTATAATCAATATAATGCATGTATACTTGACAACACTGTGTTTGGCATTATCACTAACAACAACTAATGTAGTTAGTATGACACAAGATTTATTTGTTATCTGTATTAATATTATTGATTTAGACTTAATTTCCTCAGTTTTCTCCGATCCGCGATTACAGTGTTTTTAGTCCTACCTAAATTATTGTGTTTAAATTATACCTATCCAACACAAAACCCACTTCAGCGTCATATTTCAAAATGCTATAGTAGACTGGCTTTACTCTCAAATCACACACCGCAATCATCACTTCTGAAAATCGTCAAAATAATATTAATCATATTTAATTAAAATGAAACAAGGCATACATTTTATTTTAATTGATTTATTTACTAGACGCGCGCCTACTATTCTTATTAAATTAACTGAATTGTTAACATATTCTATACACAAGGAAGGACACTACAGTTACCTTTCACTATAAAATAGATAATAACATTTTAGATCGTTGTGTGAATTATAAGGATCTGGGAATTATTTTTGACCCAAAACTTACTTTCAACAATCATATCGATGAAATGGTCAAATCGGCATCTAGAGCCTTAGGTTTTTAGTAAGAAATTGGGGCGGTTTTGTGAATACTGACACCCTGAAACTGTTATACATATCATTTATAAGAAGTAAATTGGAGTATGGCTGTATTATTTGGGTTCCCATATATCAAAATGCATTGTCACGTATTGAATCAGTTCAACGCAAATGTCTGAAATTTATGTTTTTCAAATGTAATGGATCTTATCCTCCCCAAGGTACAGACAACAATATACTGTTTAATATGTTTGACCTTAAATCTCTCAGATTCAGAAGAGATGTTGTCGTTTTATCCTTTCTTTATAAATTAATTAGTCACAATGTTGATTGTTCATTTCTTTTAAGTAAACTAAACCTATCAGTCCCCAGATTAGAATCCCGTCAAAACAACCTCTTTTACTGCGATGCTCCTCGTACAAACCTTATGATAAAGTCATCAATCTTTAATATGTGTAAAACTTTTAACACCTTTTCATCTTTATGTGATGTCAACTATGATAGTTTAGCTAAAATAATTCATATATATGAAGAAAACTGTGCTTATTAAATTAGATTATTTCATATCACTTAATATATTTTACTTTTATGTATGAGTTTTCTTGTAAACTCTTAATGTAATGTTAATGACTATGTATATTGCAAATTTGTGCATTATATATCACAGTATACTTAGTTTTAAGCTTTTCCTGTAATTGGGTGCTTTAACCTGTAGGAAATAAATTGCTTATTATTTTTATTATTATTATATATGCGTTTGAAAATTGTCTGCGCTGTGGTTATTACTAAAGATCTAGAATAAATCGTACATTCCAGGTCCGTACATATTGTACCCTACATAGGTATACAACTGTGAAAAACAGACGTTTTTTGGAGAAGTACAATTTTAACCATTTCACCTCGGCTCAATATCCGCTTCCCGCAGTTAACTCCCAAGTCGTTGCTTGTTATGTGTGTGTGTATGTGTGTATCCGCGATAACTCAAAAAATACTAATGGGAGACTTTCCAAATTTGGTAGTTAAGATTGTCAACAACATTTTGGGTCACACATTAAATTGGTGATTGTGGTACCAACTGTAGTATCGCGATAGCAGCCACAGTTTTTGAGATAAAGTTTTCAAATTCAGTACACTTGTTCTAAAGGCCAAAGACAATGAAAAATTCGGTGATGAGCAAAATTGGCCAGCTGAAAGGGATTCCACGGGGCTCAAACTTTTTTGTATTTGACTACAAAAAAATATATTCTTGATGAAAGATATAAATCATGTCTACTATATCAAGTGAATAAAATATATTTTCTAGGTACTTAAATAAAGCTGATGTAAACAGAAATATTTTACACATTTGGCCTTATAAAATGGGGTTAGGATAAATTTAACAGTTTGACGTTTGAAAGGTCTAATTTAGGTACAAAAATGTCAATGTCAGCAACAAAAAATTATTAAAATAGAGGACATGAATTATTATTGACACTGTCAATGACGCCGATAATTAATTATTTAAAAATTTTAATGAAACATTTCAAGATACGCTATTAAAAATTAATTGAGGCAAGTTAAGAAATAAATAGAATAATTTTTTAGATCAGGATGATATATACTGGTATAAGAAAGTTATGTGCTGGCCACATCATATATTTTGGTTTAGTGAAACGTCTACATCAACAGGTTGACGGTTAACAACATTCTGAATATTTTAAATATTTTTGTCGTCAGACCTGGGAACTATCGTCAGTTTTGTCATTCTCATAATTTCCTCAAAATCTTCTTCCGCACTATTTAAAGATGTTATATGTAATTCGTCTTCAGATAACCATTTCTGTTACTGAGAGTTAAACAGCAATTTTCAATAGACAACAACTCACAAAATCGTATGCACTATGCATTAGTTTTATTTGGTAAACAGTTCACTGGGTGACGTATTCGTCCACCTAAAGTAAATGATATAGACACATTAATAGCCAGCGTGATGAAGAAATTTTCAAAACCGCCGTATCGAAAAAAAAATTTGAAAACGAACTGCCAAATACACCATTACTACCACAGTCTGTTGTGACGAGTTGGAAAATATGGTTAGTAGCGGCAAGCTATTATTATGTCCATATTAATGATGTAAGAGGGTGATCGACAAATTAAATGCAGAAGATGCGCTCTCTATTTCACAAGCTCAGCAGGCGTTTAATGTCCCAGCTGTTCTGTAAGACCAAATGTACATTCACAGTCATTTTTTTGTGAAATTATTTGTCAATAAGGAACATTTAGTGTATAACTACTTCACCTAAATATGCAATAGTTAATGCAGTAAAAATTGTATTCGATCTGCGCCAGTTAATTTTTCAGTTGTCAGGAGACTCTGCTGAACGTGTGAAAAATAAATCGGAAAGTTTTACAAAACAATTCCAGATTTCATACACTGTGTGGTATTGTGGACCTCCTTGTAAGTAAAGAGGTGGACTTTTCTCAACCCAATATACACGTGTCCTCCTTGGAAAACTTCATATATTTTAAATATGCTCCTATTGCCTCTGTAGACGTTGAAAGCTCGTTTTCTTCGCATAAATGGATTTTGAGTGAGTTGCATCAAAAGTTAACTTCTAACATCTATAACAGATGCTGCTAATTTACTGGAAGACTAGAAATTACTAGTGTGCAGTGTTGTGTGTTCATTGAAATATTTTAGATACTACAAAATGGTCAATTAAAAGGTAATATATTACTTATCGTATCTTTATATGTGTAGTTAGTGTGGTCATGGATCAGTACCTAGTTTTTACATCATGTATGATTTACTCGCCAAGCTTTAATTATTACAGACATTAAAATCTATATTTCAGGACCTTTTTTCTATCCTGTACGTTTTTTTCTCTCAGTAAAGTAGAAAGTAGTGAATATAAAAATTTCGAAAAAAATTGCAAACATCTCGTTCCCTCATTTCATGTAAAACTTGTTGTTTTCAATAAAACAAATAGTAACTGCATTTGTAGTCATTGTCTTAATTCAGTATAATTTGGTGATTTCGAATCTCTATTTCGAAATCTTGAAAATTTTTTTCAAGACATATCTTATAATATATATTTTATGCTAGAGGTTGGTCAAACATACTGAAAAAAAGGAACATGGCATTTTTATGGATCAAGATAAAATTTTTATTACTTGAAAAAAATTTAACAGTTGTTTAACCCACATAAATAAAACAAAGTAAAAGGCGTATCGATTTTGTTTTCCGGTGTTTTCTCCCCTATTTCAGGTGAGGTAAAATGTTGATCCTTAGTCCCATCAGTCTATGCTTTTGTGGAAATAGTAGATGTTGAGAGACGTGGGTATATATTATGTATGGTGAAAGACGTATAATTCCTGGACTTGACTGACCCTCCTTCATATTACATGAGCTCCACCAACTTATGACCCTTTTCCTCAGTGGCGGTACTAGATATTTTAACTACAGTCAAAAAGAAATAAAACAACAAGTATTTATTCTGTTTTTACGCAACAGTTCGGCATGGTAATAAAAAATATGTGTAATTGTTGAAAATTATTCTAAAATTTTCTTTTTAATAATAACTAATTCTACCCAATTTGGGTTCTATATAGAGTAGCTTAAATAAATGTTAATTTGGTATATCAGAAATTAGTTTAAAAATGTTATCACGATTTCTAAACTCTTTCATAAATAGCTCTTAACCACCTCTCCATTACTGAAGTAACCCCTAAAATCAGAAATTTTATGTTAGGTAAAGACAGACGAGACCCTACGGTTTATTTTTCAGACAGACATAAATTTGAAATAAGTGAATTTTTAATTTGTCTCTGAATAGATTTATTAATTGTTATTATTGAACACCACAGTCTAATATGTAACATATACCTGAAGGTACTGAAGGTACCACGAGGTATCTTGTATGGGAAAAGGCTACACATTTAGAGACAATGGACACACACGCAATGTCCGTGTATGCTAGGATTAATTCCTGGTTTAGAAAACTATCCTAGCTTCTCTACCGGGGATCGAACCCGGAACTCCAGAGTGTGAGGTAAGTGTCTTTACCATTCGACCACGAAGCCACTGGATCTTCGTAATTAATTAACTAAATATAAACGCTCTTACTCTAATAGAAACTACAAATCAGATTTTAGCTTTCGACACAAATATTTGGATAAAAATAAATATAGACTTTTTCGCTATATTTTACATAAAGCACAGACATTCATATGATTTTTATGTTGTATTTAGTTTACTTCTGTCTTTTACCAGTTTTTGTTTATTATTTAATATATTATTACTCATTACAAACAAGAAAAAGTCTATTTAACTAGCTCTGAGGATGTAAATAAACGTCTCAACATGCCGCAAACGTATTAGAATCAACAGGGGCAGGTGGATGTAGTTTATACAGATACCTTAAAAGCCCTCGACAGAATAGCTCACGTAGTCTTACTTAGTAAACTGGCAAAATTTGGATTTATTAAATATCTGTTAAAGATATGTCAATATATCATGTGCAATGGCTTCAAATCCTCTCGATGTGTTACGACCTCGGTTGTCCCACAAGGGTCTAACCTTAATCCTCTGCTGTTCCTCTTGTCTATTAATGATTAATGACGTGATTGATTGTTGTAAACTCTTCTATGCGGATGATTTAAGAATATTTTCTACAGAGGATTTGCAATGTGAACTAGATCATTTTCAGTCTTAGTGTGTTGATAATAAACTGCATCTTAACATCTCACAATGTAAGATCATGAGCTTCACGAGGAAACAAACAACTAATATGTATTGCTGTGTAAATAGATCTTCTGTTGAGCAATAAAGCTATTATTAATATTATAACGAAGTTGGCTAACTAAAAAAAATGTTTCTATATTAATTGGCCTATTCCCACTAAATTGTAATATTTATATTACATAAAAACAATGAAATTATAGAGGTGGTTCCACCAGGGTCTCGCTGGTCTAAGCACGAGAGATGATTTGTCAGTTCGCTCTCGACCACATATCTTACCTCGGCCCACATCTACTATGTCGTTTTCCGATACTATACACGCGAAACATACGAAGGAATATTATTGCATCAAGCAGGTCAGCACTCCCACTTCACAAATCAGTACGGTGCGCATCACATAAAGATACAAACATAAGGGTTTTAGTGTGTGTTGGTAATGACACGAATGAGATTCTTTCTTAGGTTAAGAAAGAGTCTCATTCGTGTCATTACCATTACACACTAAAATCCTTATGTTTGTACCTATGTATGATATACATATTATGCTATTTTATTCCTATAATTTATTTTACTTTTAATTTACTCAATTTCACAATTTAAGTATGCTGAGCGCCAACCAAATTAATACATTAACTTGGATTTTAGATTGAAGTACTTTGAACATGAAACACTTATCTCAAAAGAGCAGGTTCTAGGGCATTATAAATTAAATTGAGGCCAAGATTAATACCAAATGATCATATAATGATTTCCAACTTTTACAAAATAATTAACAATCTGTCTCCTTAAATTTACTAATGTTCTGACATTGGTTTTAAATAGAGTTTATCATATACCAAATGATCATATAATGATTTTAACTTTTATAATAATAATTACCAATCTGATTCCTTAAATTTACTAATGTTCTGACATTGATTTTAAATAGAGTTTATCACATACCAAGTTCCTTATATTTCTAACACTTATACGCAAACAACATTAACTCCGTCTCCTTCGTTCACCCTTGAAGTTTTCCTCTTCTCGTATTCTCCAAGCTTCTTATTATTTTCTTAAATTTAAATTCTCCCCATCTGACATTAATTTTGACATTCACTTTTCTAATATTTAATTTCTTCACAAACCAAAGATTTTCTAAAGGTTTTCTAAAACAATAATTAAATAGCCGGAGACTAACCTTTTATTACTGGACAATAAATATTTTGATTTCCTTATCAATTTTGCATTCAATTATTATTATTTTCAATCTTCTTCCAACTTTATTAATTATCTTCTGTTTAGTTATTTATTCTGCTTTAACTTCTTATACTGCACTTTATTTATAAACGCTTTATTTCTTTACTATACTTGTATTTTTACCCGTTCTTAATCTCTTGTCCTTTTTTTTCTCTCTCTACAAAAAAAACATCCCTTCCACTCAAAATTTTGTTCATCACAAATTTTTTTGTTTTTCCTAGTTACCCTGGATGACTAAATCAATTGTGCTATACTAGCTGAAATTTATATTTCATGGTTTCCAAACTGACTTCAAGTAACTTATGATAATTGCATGCTTCCTCAAATTTATCACTTTCACTTTTATTTTAATTACAATCTTTTGTTAATTATCTGTACGGTATGTACTTCTATATTATAACAATATAACTTAAATTCTAATAACTATGTTCATTTAATATTTTTTTATTTCTTGCCTCATGGCTCTCAACACATTTTGTTATTTCTTCACTATAAAATATTATATGGTTATATCAAACAACAATTTTCAAATTTGACCACAGTATTATTACTAAATTACATTTCATGATATTACTGCTCAAAGTAATTGCCAATTTAGCTGATTTCTTATCTGTCCCTTTTAAACAACTTATTTTTAATGAACCATGAATATTGTGACAATATATTATATAAATACATAGGCGTTAAATACTTCTTAATACCCAGTGCTTTTATCTGTTTGTTTCCTGTTTTATATAATTTTTATGGTGACCAGGAAAAACTCATAATTAATTGCCATGGGGATGGTAATAAAATTTATCAAAACGTCAGCAAGTTGATGAAACAGTTTTTCTCAAAATAAGGACCCTTATCCAACAAAATATTTCCAACTATTAATAAGCCGGTATAAAAACTTTTCTATTATATAAATAATAGTAAGGGTATATAATAAATATATATAGGTAGTTACACCTTATGTAAATATTTATAGTTCAATAACTGGCCGCCAAAATTTTTGTATCGACACGAGCAACGCCTATTTTGGACATTATTAATTTTGAAATAGTAAATGAGTACAAATGATCCATATTAACGAATTTATAGTTTTGAAACCAACGGAGTCTTAAATGGGGATTGTTAACAACGATATAAAAATTTTGACGTCTAGATTTTTAAACGGTAAATATTTACATAAGAAGTAACTATAAAGATAACAGTTACAATGTCAGGCAAAAAAAAGCTTTTGCGATTTGTGGACTATATTTGTAAACATTTATCAAAATTTGAGGACGTAAACTGTGATTGGAATTCTCTATTATCACAAGTATTTTAATAATGACGTAGAAACTTTTGCGGTGCAGTTAAATCCTGGTTACTTACAAGCCATCTCTAAGACTCAGCAATTATTTGATAAGCAAAATATTGAGGATGATATACACGTTATTTATATTAACTATAATATAGTATTGGGCGGTATCCACAAATTAAAAAGTTCTTTCTTCTGTCTGGCATACTCTCTTGAACTAATTAATAGTGTACAAACTGTATTACAATGTCCCCAGTATGCAGGTTAGTAAGAGACTTAGTGACATTTTACAAAGAAGCCCAGGGTATGCAAAATTATGTCATAATAATCGGGCGCAATAAAAAATATCTTACAGTTACAGATAATTTACAATTTTAAGTTTCAAGTTTCCAAATATCACCTCCATCGATGCTGAATGATCATTTTCGCTGTATACGAATCTGCCTACAGAACGAAGAAGACGGGAAAAAATATAGAAACAGTGTTGGTTATGCAAATGTTTTCGCGTGTTATCTCTGAACTTTTGTCGCCTGTACATGCCAGTTGAAAGGTAAACACTTTTCTAAACACTATACAGCGAGAGTTGTTTCAATTCAAACATGCATTAAAAGGAAAGTAAATAATGACGGGTATAGATTATGCTTTCTCCAGCTATATTGAGAACCGTCATTAATACTCCACATAAGAAACCTACACGTACTTCATTTGCCTTCCTTTAACGCTTGTTCGAGTTATCCTACACTAGTGTAGGAAGTGTAGCTAGTGCTAGTACCGAGGCGTTTGCTATACTTGACTGCATGGTACTTTTCATGTTTGGTATATCAGTGTAGAACTAAAAGTGTAGCACTAACAACACCGACAGCCGAAGTGGAACAGCTAGTGTAGTGAACAGGTGACCAATCTTGATATTTTCTGGCTAGACTTTCGCGATTCTGTGTTTTCTATCACGTGATAACTCCATCAGTTGATTTTCTCCCTTTTCATAGTCAGTAGTCTTAGTGAGCGGACGTACCTACATTTTGTGTCTTTTAGTTGGTGAAGGATTGAAATTTTGATCCAGAATTATTTTAGTGGATGTTAATCATCGTTGTTTCGGGATTATTTCGTTCACCAATTTAAAGGATGCTACTTACTATCTTATCAGCTAAATGGTGAATTATTTAGAGTGCTACTTAGTATTTTATCAGCTAAATGCTGGATTATTTCTATAAAAAAAACATGTGTATGGACGTAGGACTTTGTCCTATACAAAGGGCAACTGTCAAGGGACTTTTATTAGACCACCACGAGACTTACATTGGATTCCAGTGAATGATTCTTAGGAAAGGTGGCTATTACTTGGCTTTTATTAACTATCAGGGGACTATCACGGAGTTATCATAGGACTTTTACTGGGTTTCGACTTGGTGAATTTTTGTTTAAAATAAGAACGTTATATGGCTCTGCTAGGTTATGACCTAGATAATTTGTTCATGTTGTTAATGTGGTTTTTATGTACTTTTGATGCCATAGAAAATGGAATTTTATCAAGTCTTGCTATTGGAGGGTTAATTTGTGTTTCGACAATTGTTGGAAGTCAAGAGCCAATTAATTTCATCGTCGAGTTTTGTAATGCTGCAGTTTGGTTAATGGAACAATATTAATCTGGTATTGAAGAAACCAAAATTGAACACACTTTTCAACTCTCGGAGGTTAAAGTTAAGTTTTCATATTCTTTTTTTTATGTACTTATTAAAAATTTCGACCTTGATATAAATAATTAATTATTTATTTTGTGCATGTTTTTTTCAATTTTACTTATTCAAATTTAAATTAGTACTA